CCTCTGGACTCTGGTCTGTTGGTCTTCCTGTGGAGCTGCTATCAAACCCAACCTTTTATCTTTCCTCCTACTTTCCCTCAGGACTCCCTACACAAAGCCAATGTTTGGGAGTGAGTCTAGGAATCTGTTTTGAGGTGCTGCTAGGTAAAGCCTCTCAGAGGACAAGTTTGTCAGGCTCTTGTCTGCAAGAATAGCAGAGTATTGTTTGTGGTGTCAGGCATCAGCACCCTCCACTAGGGTGGGTCTTTGGTTGGTCATTCCCCCAGTCTCTGTTCCATCCGCTCTATCTTTATTCTGGGGGAAAAAATGACTGTTTTACTCTATTGAGAGCTAGCACAGAGGCCTCTGAAAGCATAAAAGTTAGTTCTCAAGCAGGCTTCTTTCTGGTCAGAAACACCTCAGGTCCTCAGGATCACATGTTTAAAGGCATAATAGCTTCAGCAATAGGGATGTGCTTCTAACTTATGGGTGGCAACCAAGGGCAAGAGTCAAATCTTATATGACTTCAGGAATCTCTTGGAAAACCAGACAAATCACTCAGATGGGATTTCCCAAGCCTCCTGTTGTAGTTATTTTTAGGTATTCTAGATCTATTGCAGAAAGCACTGTCATCCCTCATAGGAAGGGTTTGATAGATAGATAGATAGATAGATAGATAGATAGATAGATAGATAATGTTTATAATAATTAAAATGATTCCCCAGAGCTTCAATTAATACAATTTATCTGTAATATATGTATTGTATACATATACATGTATATAATAATTAAATATATGTATATAATAAATGTGTATGTTAATAATAATTAAAATATGATTCCCTATAGCATTAATTAATTAATTATTACATTTTTTTTTACTTTGTATTCTGTCTGCAACCCATCCTTCTCTCCTCCCAGTCCTACCAACCTCCCTCCTATATTCCCCTCCCCTAGTCCACTGATAGGGGAGGATCTCCTCCCCTTCTATCTGAGCCTAGCCTATGATAAACATGTTACAATCTATAGTTCTAAAATCTATAGTTCTAAGGAAGCTAAACAACAAGGAGGACCCTAGGGAAGAGGCTTAATCTTTATTTAGAAGGGCAATCAGGATAGACATCTGAAGTGGGAGAAGACAGAGACAGGACAGGAACTTTCAACAGGGGGCCTCTGAAAAACTCAACCCAGCAGGGTATGGAAGGACATGCTGAAATTCATAGCCAAACTTTGGGAGAGTGCAGGGAATCTTATGGAAGAAGAGGGAGACAGAAAGTCCTGGAGGGGATAGAACCTACACAAGGATACCAACAGAGCAAAAAAACCTGGGCTCAGGTGGCCCTGTAGAAACAAGTACTCCAACCAAGGACCATACATGGTGAGACCCTAGACCCCCTGCTCAGATAAAGCCCATAGGTTACTCAGTTTCCAAGTGGGTACCCTAGTAATGGGATTAGGGGCTGTCTCTCACATGAACTCACTGGCTTGTTCTTTGATCTCCTCTTCCTGGGAGGTGCATCTTTGTTAGGTTACAAAGGAAGATGATGCAGCCAGCCTTGATAAGTCGCTATAGCTTTTAAGGTAGCATTGATAGATAGTTCTTTTTATTTAGTTAACCGTACACATTTCAGTTAATCTAAGCAAACACAGCCTGTATTATTTTTTTTCACAAAATTACTATGGTTTTATTGATTTAGGAAGATAACTGTTCAGGAGCTCCACAAGGACCAAATACATCTGGGTACAGGGGTCTTTTCTAAGACTGTTTCTCCAACAAAGGAACATGAATGGATATAACCTAGAACCTCTGTACAGATGTAGCCTATGACATCTCAGTGCCCAAGTGGGTACCCTAGGAAGGGAAACAGGAACTGTTTCTGACATAAGTACAATACCTGGTTCTTTGCCCCCTACCAAGGGAGGAGCAGACTTGCTAGGCCACAGAGGAGGACATTGCAGCCAGTCCTGAAGAGACCTGATCAGCTAGGGTCAGATGGAAGGGGAGGAGGACCCTTCCTATCAGTAGACTTAGAGAGGGGCAGGGAGGAGATGAAGAAGGGGGTGTGGGACTGGGAGGGAATGAGGGAGGGGGCTACAGCTGGGATACAAAGTAAATAAAGTACAATTAATATAAAAAATTTTAATTAAAAATGAAGATATCTGTACTCTATAAATTCTAGAAGTGAAAAATAATTGAAACAGTAGAAAAGAAGTTGAAAATAAATTTCAAAACTACATTTCTGCTTTTTTTGAATGTTTAGTCGGTTTTTGTATCTGCACTGAAAATAACATGATAGTGTAAAGAAAATTTATGTAAATGCTCAGGGACTAAATTGATACCTCATTACCACATTCAGACAGCATGTTCTCTATAAAGAACAATTTGAACAGATTTAACTTCACCTTCCACAGATGACGAAGTTCTACCTACAATGCCACATGTTGCACACACACACACAAACACACACACCCTCCACAGGCCATCAATCCCTTGGGAGGTACAAGTACAGCCAATTCCAGCAAGAATAAATTTGTATTATAGTATAGACGCTATGATTCCGTGCTTTCAATATTATTTCCCTCAAATAAATGAAATAAAATAAAAACATTGACACTATCAATCTGCCTTTTTAAAACTGTAACCACATTTACCAATGAATTACGACTGTCTCCACCATTTTATTTAACTTATGAAATCACCCCTAATTTTACACATACATAGAACATAAAAAATAATCCATAAGTAGGACATTCATATTTCAATTTATGCCCCAAAATTCAGATAATCATGCTGAATGTTTTATCTTCAGCAGGATGTGGATCTGTCTGAAGACATTTGTTTAATAATATGAGATTTAATTTTTTATTTGTATCCATTTCATTATTAGATTAAGAGTGAAATATGCATGAGCACTTTTCCTAGCTTTATATCTAATAATCTAATAAGCCATGTAGGATTCATCTATTAATATAATACAATTTAAAATGATTTCCTAATAGGAAGTGTTAGGACTCAGAGTTTAAATAAATTAAACACTGATCAGTAAAATCATTCTTGGTAATGTGAAGAAAAAGTTATATATATATATATATATATATATAGAGAGAGAGAGAGAGAGAGAGAGAGAGAGAGAGAGAGAAACTATGCAAAATATGAAATCTCTTAATTCTATACTAAAGCAACACAGGCCTTCTTTGTGTGTCTCTCCACATGAGGTTAATATTAAGCATAAATAAAATAAAATAATCATCTGATGTCCTTCCTCTTTGCTTTCAGGATGGGGATTGAGCATTTTAGTCAGGGTGCTCTCTCTTAATTAGTTTCTTCTTTACATGTACAGATTTTAGTGGGTTTATTCTATGTTGTATGTTTATATGAGTGAGTATATACAGTTTGTTTCTTTCTGCTCCTGGGACAGCTCACTCAGGATGATCCTTTTCAGGTCCCACCATTTATCTGCAAATTTTATGATTTCCTTATTTTTCATTGCTGAGTAATATTCCATTGTGTAGATGTACCACAATTTCTGCATCCATTCTTCAGTTGAGGGGCATCTGGGCTGTTTCCAGCTTATGGCTATTACAAATAAGGCTGCTACAAATATGGTTGAGCAAATGTCCTTATTGTGTACTTGAGCCTCTTTTGGATATATGCCTAGGAGTGGTATGGCTGGATCTTGAGGAAGCACTATTCCTAGTTGTCTAAGAAAGCGCCAGATTGATTTCCAGAGTGGCTGTACAAGTTTACATTCCCACCAGCAGTGGAGAAGGGTTCCCCTTTCTCCAAAAGCATCCAGAACAGCAAAGAGGAAGGACATCAGAAGAAGAAGAAAACAGGAAACAAGCTAGAAACCTGCCACAGAGGGCCTCTGAAATGCTCTGCCCTGCAGACAATCAAAGCAGATGCTGAGACTTATGGCCAACTGTTGGGCAATGTGCATAGAATCTTATGTAAGAAGTGGGAAATAGTAAGATCTGGAGTGGACAGGAATTCCACAAGGAGAGCAACAGAACCAGAAATTTGAACACAGGGGTCTTCCCAGAGACACATGCTCCAACCAAGTACCATGTATGGAGATAACCTAGAACACCTGCACAGATGTAGCCCATGGCAGTTTAGTGTCCAATTGGGTTCCACAGTAATGGGAAGAGGGACTGCCTCTGACATAATCTGATTGGCCCGTTCTTTGATCACCTCCCCCTGAGTAGGGAGCAGCCTTACCAGGCCACAGAAGATGACAATGCAGCCACTCCTGATGAGATCTGATAGACTAAGATCAGAAGGAAGGAGAGGAGGACCTCCTCTACTAGTGGACTTGGGGAGGGGCATGCGTGAAGAAGGGGATGGGAGGGTGGATCGGGAGGGCATAAGGAAGGGGCTTAGGGGGGGATACAAAGTGAATAAAGTGGAATTAATAATAAAAAAATAAAATAAAAATTTTAAAGGAAAAAATATAATCAACACAGAGAAAGAGAACATTCTCATCAAATTTGGTTGGAGAAGGATCCAATAAAGGGTGAATTATTCAAATTAAGATGGTTACTGAACAGAGACACGACCTGTCTGCTGTGTAGATGGAACACAAATAGCTTGGAAAGTTGTTGCATTCAAAAATTGGATATATTTTCAGTTCATATAATAAAATTAATAGATGATTTTAGGTGGCTTGTGAAATGATTTTGATTTACAAACAAAGATAAAAATAATTATTTATAAGTAAATATTCTCTAACAGCCTTTAGAAGTATAGTCCTGTTATTTCTCTGGAAAAATCAGTGGTTATATGTTAGTTACACTTTTTTCCCAAAGTGATCTTTGTATTTATTAGATTTCTGGAGACAAGATTATTTGCTCATCTTTGTGCTTTGAAGATCTTCTTGCTGTCATCTATTACATCTCTGAACTTTCAGTAATGTTGACCATCAAATATTTCGGTATTAGACAAGAACACTCAACAGCAGCAACAACAAAACATTTTAAGAGTCTGATTTATTTAACAAAGTTGATGTTTTCTTTATCAGGTGACAGAAACACGGACGGGTCCTCTTGGCTGCAGTAACTATGACAACCTAGACTCTGTCAGCTCTGTTCTGGTTCAAAGTCCTGAGAATAAAATTCAGTTGCAAGGTATGTAGGTAAATTTTTATTAATTCTTTATGAGTCTAGATGATAAACTAACCGGTTATAATTTATTTCATATTATTGAAATATGAGTCAGTTGGCACTGGAAAGGTAGATCAAAAGCACTTGGTCTTTTTCCAGAGGACCTGAGTCGGTTCTTGGCGCCCACATATAGACACTCATTACCCTCTGTAACTCTGGACCTAGAGGATCTGAAACCTCTGGCCTTTTTGGGCACCTGCACTGTTAATAAATACCGTTTACTTCAAATATTATAAAATATTTAAGTATTTTAAATTATATGAAATTTATTATTCATTTGAGTTTCAAGTTATTGAAATATTTTTATTATTTTAAATAGTAAGTATATAGTTCATAGCACTGTTAAATCTCTATGAATTATTTTCTTTTAATGTGAGAATTATATTTTCATTGGTATATTACAATTAATCAAAATATACAGCAACTCTAGAGAAAACTATTTTATTTAATCATCTACAAAACTCATTTATGATAAAAGCTTGATTTCATTATTTGTGTATTATTGCACAGTTTCACAACCTAAAGAGAAACTCAGGACTGCTGAGATGGTCAGTGTATAGACACACATTGACTGAGCATGACAATGGAGTTTGGTTACTCGAGAAAAAAAGCTGGAAAGAGAGGATCAGGTCTCACAGGCTGTCTATCTTCTGCCCTCCAAAACACACAAACACACACCCATACCCTCACTCACACATACATGCATGAACACAACACATACACATGAATGTACAAAAAACACATAAAAGCACACACAGAGAGAATTACAGGTACACATTAAGAGAGATAAACACATTCACAAAAGGAGAGAAAGCGACAGAGAGAATTACAGGGACACATACAGAAACAAAAAAAACACACACTTACACACACATACAAACACACCATAATTTTAAAAATGTCAACTGCCTTTACTGAAAAACATGATGAAGTGAATTAATATTTATTTACTTTTATTTTAAAATCTTATTTATTTATTTATTTATTCATTTATTCATCTATTTATTTATTTCAATTTATTCATTTTGTATCCCCTCTGCCTTGTCTTCTCTCAGTCCCACCGATCCTCCCTCTTCTACCCTTAAGCCCTTCCCCAAGTCCACTGATAGGGGAGGTCCTCCTTCCCTTCCATCTGACCCTAGCCTATCAGGTCTCATCAGGACTGGTTGCATTGTCCTTCTCTGTGGCCTGGCAAGGCTGCTTCCCCCTGGGGGGGGGGGGGTGTCAAAGAGCCAGCCATTATTTTAGAATATATTTCTGTATGCAATTTAAATTTCTTGAAAAATTTGCATTTTTATAAAGCTTTAATAAAATAAGTGAATGTGATAAATAAAAATATAATAATAAAATAAATTCTTTTTAGGATACTGGAATAGAATTTTGACTTCAAGGATGGAGTCTGTCTATCTATCTATCTATCTATCTATCTATCTATCTATCTATCTATCTGTCTGTCTACATAGATAGATAGATATTAAATGTGCATGCAGTATGCATATCTTTTATATATGCAGGTCTTTATTTATATTTATTTTTAATGTTCATATTCTATTTCTTTTACAATTTAAAATTCATTTTAGTGTTTTACTGCATGTACTATAATCACACAATTTTAAGCTCTTCTCTCCTCTACCTCTCTCAATTCTGTGTGTGTGCGTGTGCGTGTGCGTGTGCGTGTGTGTGTGTGTGTGTGTGTCTGTGTGTTTGTGTCTGTGTGTTTAAGGAGAACTGCCAGGAACTGTATAAGTATCAGGTGGCTGGCTTCTACTCAATACTGATACTGTCTTTTTCAGTAGCCATAGTTTGTAAGTTTTCATCTGGGGACTTTTTTGAGTTTCCCTCCATCAATTTTCATTCGAGGTAGTGTTACAGTTTTCAGGTTTTGCTTAGCCAACCTCATTGTTGATATTTCATGTTTGCGGCTTCCCTGTCATAAACAGAGTACACTATAAGCACACTTCTTCACCATCTCACTCTTGTAATCTTTCCATTGAAACTCGAGTTAGTTGATCTCTTCATTTTACCAGCTGTGATTTTCTGAAATGGTTGCTGACTATGATAAATGAAAGTTTCCTTGAAGAGAAACTTACCTGTGGTCATAGGATAGTTATTAATACATAGTTAGGAGTTATAGTGAATTAGGGGAGCAGATATAGTTTACTCTCCTTTGGGTTTTATGGTGTCACTAGCCACGGGTTAGTTTCTCAGTTCTACAATAACCAGCTTGGATTCTCTCTTATTGAGCGTACCTTAAGTCCAGGTAGCTGCTGGTTCTAACTAGCTCTACTGCATCTTTGTAGATCTCCTGCCACTCTGATAATTGGTGTTGCAGATCGGTCAGACTACTGATGACTTTTCTCTTCTTGAAGCTGAGATAGATAGATAGATAGATAGATAGATAGATAGATAGATAGATAGA